GAAGCATTATGCGTAGGAAAGGAAAATCCATAACCAGAATTAAGTGTCTGTTCCTGTAAGGACAAAACGCTGTCCCCTCCAAGATGGAAGTGGTCCAGCATAGTCAACCTGCCACCAGGTTGCAGGCTGGTCACCACGGGAACAGTGCCATATTTGTGGCTCAGTGTTGGTCTCTGCTGTTGGCAGATCTGGCACTCAGCAGCAGCTGTAGCCAGGTCAGCTTTCATGAGCAGGAGTCCATGTTGCAGAGCCCATGCAGAAAATTCCATCTCTGCCACCATGGTCAGTTTGTTCATGGGCCCATTGGGCAATGACAGGGATAGCTGAAGAAAGCGGCTGACTATCCACAGAGAGGAATCAACCAATCTGCTTGATTACTGAACTCATCTTCTGCTGAAGCTGCCTTTTGATGAGGATTTACATGAGACACAAGTATGTTCACATTCTTTGCCCATTTGGAGAGATCTATCCACATACTTCTTCCCCAAATGTCTTTCTCACCAATTTTTCAGTCATGCTCCTCCAAGCGGCTGACCATCCAGCCAAACCATTGGCTACAGCCCATGAGTCAGTATATAATCAGACTTCTGGCCATTTCTCCATCCCCATGCACACTTCCCTAAGTTCTGCCCACTGTGAAGACTTTCCTTCCCCAGTGTCCTTCAGGTTTGTTCCAGAAATTGGCTGTAATGCTGCAACTGTCCACTTCTGAGTGGTGCCTGCATAGCATGCAGAACCATCTGTAAACCAAGCCCTAGTCTTCTCTTTCTCAGTCAACTGATCATAGGGCGCACCCCATGAAGCCATAGGTGCATGCTTGAGAACAGGAGGCATTGTAACAGGAATAGGAACCATAGGCATTTGGGCAACTTCTTCATGTAGCTTATCTATGCCCTCCAGGCCTGCTTGGGCCTGATCACATATATACCAGTTCCATTTGATAATGGATTTTTGCTGTGCACATCTTACTTTGTGGCTTGGGGGGTGAGATAACACCCAGCTCATGATGGGCATTTCTGGTCACATGGTGACTTGGTGGCCCATTGTCAAAAGTTCAGTTTCCACTAAGGCCCAATAGCAGGCTAAGAGCTGTCTCTCAAAGGAAGAATAGTTGTCTGCAGATGAAGGCAAAGCCTTACTCCAAAATCTCAATGACCTCCCTTGTGATTCCCCTGTAGGGACCTTCCAGAGACTCCAAACAGCATCTCTATCTTCCACTTATACCTCAAGCACCATTGGGTCTGCTGGATCATATGGCCCAAGGGGCAGAACAGCTTATAAAGTAGCCTGAACCTGTTGAATGGCCATTTCCTGTTCCATGCCCCACTCAAAGTTAGCTGCCTTCTGAGTCACTTGGTATATGGGTCATAGTAACACACCCAGATGAGGAACATGCTGCTCCAGAATCCAAACAGGCCCACTAAATGTGCTTCTTTCTTGGTGGAGGGAGGGGCCAAGTGCAACAACTCTTCTTCACCTTAGAAGGAATGTCTCTGCATGCTCCACATCGCTGAACTCCTAGAAATTTCACTGAGGTAGAAGGCTGTTGAATTTTGGTTGGATTTATTTCCCATCCTCTCATGCGTATATGCTTTACCAAAAAGTTCGGACTGTTTGCTACCTCCTGCTCACTGAATCCAATTGTTATAGGTTGGAGTTGCAAAAAAAAAAAAAAAAAAAAATCACAAGCACCACTTTAAGAAAAATAGCAAGGTAAAATAAAATTTTTCGACTGCCTGGGCTCTCTATCTTGGGAGTAGAAGCAGCCCTGATGATTGTCGGGTCTGAGTTTTTCTAGGATTACAGAAATATTATTCAAACAGGACACTTGTGAACCAATCAGGTTTGTACAACATAGAACTTTGAATCTATTAATCAACAACTAATCATTATACAGACAAGTGATACAGTCATATAACTTGGCAATCAACTTTGTAACTTTAAAATTAGTCAACTTCGTAGCCATAACAAGTATAGTAACCAGGTGGTCATACAATAACAGGGTGGTCTTATACTTTGTGTCAAGGTGACCTAAAATAGCAAGCAAGTTACAGAAGCGAAAACAAGCAGTTAGCCAGATGTAGAATGTCTGCAATTAGCACTTTCCACTGGTTTGTGGTTGAGCTATTTCTTAGAACTCAAGGCTGTTTTATCTTTTTAAATATTTCCCATAAGTGAAAAGAGGTTATTGTTAAAATAGCTATTCTGAGCAAGATGGAGTAACTTAGGTTAAGTTGCTAATATAGTTCACAATCAGCATAACTTCATCAATATAGTGCACCAGTGTGATATTTTGTGGAAGAGTCAGGCAATCAAGATCCCTTTGAACCAAGTTATTGCACAATGCTGGAGAGTTAATATACCCTTGAGGCAGGACAGTAAAGGTATACTGTTGGCCTTGCCAGCTGAAAGCAAATTGCTTCTGGTGGTCTTTATGAACTGGTATCGAGAAGAAAGCATTTGCCAAATCAATAGCTGTATACCAGGTACCAGATGTATCAATCTACTCAAGTAAGACTACATCTGGTACAGCAGCTGCAGTTGGAGTCACTACTTGATTAAGTTTTCAATAGTCAACTGTCATTCTCCATGACCCATCTGTCTTCTGCACAGGCCAAATAGGAGAGTTAAAAGGCGATCTGGTGGGAATCACCACCCCTACATCTTCCAAATCCTTGATGGTAGTGCTAATTTCTGCAATCCCTGCAGGGATATGATACTGTTTGATACCAATTTCTGTCCTAGTTTGTTTCTCCATTGCTGTGACAGAGCACTCTGACCACTACCAACTTGGGGAGAAAAGGGTTTATTTGTCTTACATCTCCCAGGTCACAGTTCATCAGGGAGCCCAAGGTAGGAACTCAGGGCAGGAACCTGGAGGCAGGAGCTGGAGCACAGACCATGGAGGAACACTGCTTACTGGCTTACTCCCCAGCCCTGCTCAGCCTGCTTTCTTATGCAACACAGGCCCACCTGCCCAGGGGTAACACCACCCACAGTGGGCTTGGCCCTCCCACATCACTCAACGATCAAGAAGATGCCCCATGGACATGACCATAGGCCAGTCCAATGAGGGAAATTCCCCCATTGAGGCTCCCTCAACCCAGGTGAGTCAAGTTGACTCTAAAGTTATCCAGCACAGGTTTCATGAACTTAAAGAATATAGTCTTTTAGTTTGTTTTGTGTTTTTCTTATGCAATTTCAGAGAACCAATATCACAATCAGTACTCTAAATCCAGGGTTAATTATACTGTCCCAGATAGGAAGCACTAGAGATGTCACCTGTACTAAGCTGGCTTTTTCTCTGTGTTCTGTAGCCCTGCATGAATTCCCCAGGGACATCTTTTCCAATGAAGACAGAAGACAAGGAGCGGTGGTCCTCCATGTGCTCTGTGTAAGTAGCCCCTCTTGTACCTTTGCCTGGAGGGCTTAAAGGACAGAAGGTCAGTGAGCAACTAAAGTGCCCATGGTGGCTCCACTCCCTCCTGTCCACCTGCCTGGTAACAGACCATCTCCAATGCGCTGTCTCTTAAAGGCTGCAGATCTGGAAGGCATCTGTCTATCGTCTTTTCTTTCATGTCAGTGCCCAAGGCAAATTTTTCTCTCAGTTATACTATGCCATACTTACACAGCAACTCTTTGGGAAGCCATGCTTTTAACTAGCTGGTCTACAATGCCACAGCATTCCCCCATACCATGCTTTATTTTTCTCTCTGCAACCTGTCATTATACAGTTGTTTATGGCCTGTCAGTCTCACACATAAACCGTACGAGAGCAGAGGCTTTGTCTTGCTCCTGGCTTCATTTCAACACTCATTCTTGGCACATGGTGGGCACAGAATATTTATTCAATCATCGGCTTAAACTAATGGCAGTGTCTGGCCCTGACTAGGTGATCGATTGAGCACAGCTTGCTCCTTCTCTCTGCTCTTGTAATGCTACCATTGTCCCATACCATCCTCTGTAGACCCAGTGGATCAAAGGTCTTTGCTTTGCCTTGTCCCCATTTGGAAAGGGGGGGAGGGGCAGGGATATATATCTAAGGAGTGGCTGCGGAATCAGAAAACTCCAGCCTAGTCTAGACTTGGTGTGTTGCAGCCATCTCTGTGCTCTTATTTCCATCCTGGTTATTTATTGCTGTGAAATAAACTTCCCAAACTTAGTAACATTCCTGGTCGTGTCCATTGTTCTTGGGTTCAATGTATCAATTATATAGGAAGGTCATGGTAGGAATGCATCTCCTTGTGGATGGGACAGCTTGGATGGCTTGGGCAAATGCCATCGGTGTTGCAGGATCCACTTACTGGAGGGCTTCTCCAATCCCAAGTCTGGGGTCTGGCCTTTGCTAGGTTCATTTGCCAGGCCCATCACCCAGAGCTCCTCAAGTGGTCTCTGCAGTGGGGTAGCCTCTGGGAGTTGGACTTCTATGTGGCAGCCATGGGCTCAGACATGGAAATGGTTGTAGCAAACAAGCATCATAGTCTTTAGGACCTGGCCTTGAAGCCACACAGCATCATTGCCATTGAATTGGTTATAGTCACAAGCCCACCATGGTCCAAGGAAGAGGATAGAGAACTTAATTTTCAATCCACATGTAAAGGTGATCGATAGGCACATGCTGGGCTCAGGAGTCATGTCAGACATCAGTCTGAGATTCTGTTGTCCTTGCTTTGTGTATGGCTTCTGACAAGGTGATTGTACTGCTCTGAAACCATGAGCCACTTGAACTGATCCCCTTCCTGGCCAAAGCAACAACTCTTTAGCTTTTTCTTTAAGTCCACTCCCACCTGGGAGAAAAAAGTATGAAATGTTTCCTTTTAGCAAAGTCTGCCTCTAAAAATACCAAATAAATAAGAACTCTTGAAACCTCCCAGTCCTCCTTGCCCTTCCAGAGACTCATGGGCACTGAGCAATTAATGTGGATGCCATCTTTGGTACCACAGAGGCTCCTCTGTCACTGGCTGAGGAGTCCCAGGCACTCAGTAAGATCCAGAATTCCCCAGAAGCCATTAGCACCCTGCTGCCTTGACATCTGAGATATGAGATTTCTAGTCAGGACCCAAACAGTGAGGCCTTTCATCCTCCCACAGCAGTACTGCTAGCCTAGCGCATCTGGCAAGGTCCCCTCCTCTCTACCTCCACACAGTCCCCTCCTCTCTGCCTCCACATGATCCCTCCAGCTGAAGGCCAAGGGTTCTGCTTTTCAAAAAACCAAGGTTCTCAGAAAGGCTCCAGCTGTCTATGGCAGTGCTGTTCCTGTCGGGCATGAAAGCAAAGCAAACTGCATGTGCACTCTTGCTGCTGTACACTTCCTTATGAGAGTGGACATCAAGGCTTTGTAGTCATTGCTATCTGATGCTCCTGTTAGGCCCCATCCTGGACCTTCACTTTAGAGTCTACAGGGCAAAGAGTCCAGGGACCAAGGTGAGTGCCCATCCCTTCAAGACCCTGCTCCACATTCATAGAGTCCCTGAATTATCTACTTACATAGCCTCAAACTGACTGCCAAGATCTGTACAGTCTTTCCCCCAGGGTCCTTCCCTGAAATGGAAGAGATCCAGTGAGTTAACCTTAAACTTGCTGCCTGTGTTCCACATGCATGTGTATGATGTGGTTAGATCAAGGTGGGTAGGAAGATCTCTTCTACATAGAACAGACAAATGTTAGGAGGGACCTGCTCATATACCTACAAGGTCAAAGACTAGAGACCCCCCAAAGGGAATAAATTTCATGAGAGAAGCTCTTTTGCACTGTGTTTGGCACACTCAACAACAGAAGTGATACAGTCACTCTTTGTTCAATGTAGTAAAGAACAGATCCTTTTATTCCCTTTCTCCTACCTTATTATGTAGTAAGTATAGCATGCTCAGGAATTTTTCTTTTTTAAAATATATTTTATTCCCTTTTGTGAATTTCATACAATACAGCTTAATCACATTTAGCCACCCCAACCTTCCCTACCACACCTCCTCATAGCCTGCCCATAGGACTTCATGCATTTTGTCATATATGTTAAGACCTATCCAGTCAACTTTGTGTACTCAGATGTCCCTCCGTGTGAGTTCATCCACTGGAGTTTGTTCAGCCTGTCTAGTGTCACTCCTTTAAAGAAGAGCAGCTTTCCCTCATCTAGTAGTGATCAGCTACCAACAATTCTTCAGCGAAGACTGGGGCCTGCTGCCCATTTCCGCAGTTCTATGTTGGTTTTTTGTCTGCTTGAGTTTGCACATATCTTGTGCATGCAGACACCATTGCTGTAGGTTCATATGAGCAAGATCCAAGGTACTTGTAAGACTCTATTTCCATATGGTCATGCACCTGCTCCCCTGGCTCTTACAATCTTTTCATCCCCTCTTCCACAATGGGCGCTGAGCCCTGGGTAGGTGAAGTTTAATATGAGTCCTATGTAGGGACCCACACTGCATTTCTTATTCTCTACACGTTGGTCTTTTGTGTTTATTGCCCTCTGTTGGATCAGGAAGCTTCATTGATGAGAGTTGAAAACCCTAAGTCTGTCACATCCCTAGACAAATGTAATTTCTTATTGTATGGTAAATATGGATCCTTATATTTACAGACAAGTGTGCCAGTATCACCACTCATCAAAGAAGCTTCTTTTGCAACAGATGAAGACTATTACTGAGTTCCAAAACTCAGTATAACACATATAACAATGTGTTACATATATATATATTTATTATATATAACATATAATAAATGTCTGTGAAATGCCTAACCCTAATTGACACATCTACAATGGAAACTCTGCACCTAAGGCTCACAAAAAATAGTGGAATGGGGTTAGAGAGAATATTAATGCACCTCTCAACTCTCAGGAAATTCTCAGTGAGCACTTCTAGATGTAAGCAAAGTTGATACAAGAGCAAATAGTGTTTTAGTGGCAAAAATAGCAGGTGAATGCACAAGTCAGAACTGCAAGAAGCTAATGACCTGCACGTCTTGAAAGCACTTCTGAGCTATGCAGTTTGGTAGTGTTTGGCCAGGCCCTTAGGGATGGTTCAAAGACATCTCTGTCCTACAAGAACTCAACACATTGTAAGGAGACAATTGTGGTCTGCACTGTTGTGTGCCAAGTACTGACCATCGTCTATACTGCCTCCTGCGGGAGCTCAGAAAAGGCACAGTGAGGTAGACAGGGTGGTGCTAGCCTTGGAGAGTGGCCAAGAAGTTTCCAAAGAACTGGGAAGAGAAATTGATTATTCCAGACAAGAGTAGAAAATGCCATGGTTAGGGATATAGACATGTGAGATCCAGGGCTTCTGGAGGGAGCAGAACTGAAGGATGTTTGTGGAAGAGAGTGTGAGGGTATGAGGATGCAGAGGTGATGGAACTCTCATGGAAGATATCATGAGGAACTTAGTGGCTGAATTGAAAGTACAGGAGTAGACTGTTCACTCCCCATCCCTCCTAACCTAGCATATGGGCTGAAGAAAGTCAAGCATGGGGAGACCAAAATGGCCTCTCTCCTGTCAGTTGAGAAAGACCTGGGATGACCACAATAAAAGGCTCAAGGCCATTTGGCAAGGCATCCAAGAGTCCTAGGTATGCTGAGGGGTACTCCAGACCTAGTGAGGGTCCATCCAGAAGCACCATCTCAGGAAATTGCAGAGCCTGGTGTGCCCCATCCAGGTCAGAGACGGTGGTATTCTGCCAGTGGGTCCCAGTAGGCATGTCCTGCCATCCTTGAATGCTCTAGAGAGAGGACCATAGGACTGTTAATTCATGAAGCAAACTCACTGAAGTCATAGGGTCTCAAGCAGAATGTTACATGCTTTCAGAGCCTCCTGTGACCTGATCATACTTAGCATTTGCACCCAAATGCACACTGCCCGCCATGCTTGAGCCCCAGGCATTTGGTTTCTGTGTAAGACCTGTAGCCTTTGGCTCAAGTTGAGTACAGGTCTCTGGATCCTGGTGGGCCTGGGGACCCCCAGCACAATCTTTTAAATCTCAAATGTCCAAACTTGCTTCTGCTTTTCTTTTTGTGTAAATACTTCTCTTTTGTGTGTGTTTTGTGGAACTCAAGATAGTCGTTTTGGCTCAACTTGCTGTACGCTACAGCTCTAAATTTCCTCTCGGATCTCTCTGGTTTAGAATGCCTAAACCAAGATTGCACTTCAAAAAGTACTTCTCTTCCTTCCAACTGTTAGAGTCTGTGTGCTTTCAAGTGGGGAAATCCATGATCTTTACAATTTTTATCAACAGAGCATATCCCTAAGAAATCACACTTGTCTTTATATCCTGTTCTTTATATCTAATCTTTCATAACACTCAGGCGTTATAAGCAGGATTTCCTGTCTATGAAGAAATTTGTGTCTTTTATAAACTCATTGAATCTGCCCCCAAATAGAGGGAGAAGCCTGTGGGTTATTT